TTATTAATGGTTTGGTACAAATTCGATAACTAAACTAGTCATGATATTATCAAACGCAAAAAATTAAAAATTTTGATCTTATTTCTGATAACTCCCACATATCAGCTCTGTATCAAATATTTAAAAATATTTTTACGATTTTCTAATAAAAACATGATAAGTCCCACTTGTCATGTTTGTCATCATCATCATCATTACAGCCCTTCACAAGTCCACTGCTGAACATAGGCCTCCCCCAAAGAATGCCACAAAACACGGTCCTGAGCCACCTGTATCCATCGACTTCCTGCATGTCTTACCAGGTCGTCACTCCATCTCGTGGGGGGACGCCCTACACTTCGCCTACCGGTACGAGGCTGCCACTCGAGAACCTTTCTTCCCCATCGGTTGTCGGTTCTTCGAGCTATATGGCCGGCCCACTGCCACTTCAGCTTACTAATCCGTTGGGCTATGTCGGTCACTCTGGTTCTACTGCGGATATCCTCATTCCTAAGTTTATCACGCAGAAAAACTCCGAGCATAGCCCTCTCCATAGCTCGCTGAGCGACCTTGAGCTTCCTCATACGGCCAGCAGTGAAGGACCACGTCTCAGTTCCGTAAGTCATCACTGGCAACACGCACTGGTTGTACAATTTCGTTTTAAGGTTTTGAGGTATGTCTGACGAGAAGATGTGTCGTAGCTTCCCGAACGCTGCCCAGCCGAGTTGAATCCGTCGATTGACCTCTCGGTCGAAGTTGTACTTACCCAGTCGGACTATTTGTCCCAGGTAAACATACTCGTCAACAACTTCGAGCTTAGTGTTCCCAACAACTATCGGCATAGGTGTGACATGGACATTAAACATGATCTTAGTTTTGTCCATGTTCATCTTAAGACCTATCCGTTGGGAAACACTATTGAGGTCATTGAGCATAGTGCTTAGGTCCTCCAGCGATTCTGCCATAAGGACTATATCGTCGGCAAATCGAAGGTGAGTGATGTACTCGCCATTGATGTTGATACCGTATCCTTTCCAGTCCAGAAGCTTGAAAACGTCTTCCAATGCAGCGGTGAAGAGTTTCGGGGATATGACGTCACCCTGTCTTACACCTCTCTGCAATTGGATAGGTTTCGTACTCTGGTTCTGTACTCGGATAGCCATCGTAGCCCTACTGTACAAGCACTTCTACACTTCGATATACCGACAGTCAACTTGGCACCGCTGAAGGGACTGCAGCACCGCCCAAATTTCGACGGAATCAAAGGCTTTCTCATAGTCCACATACGCCAGACATAGTGGCAAATTGTACTCTTCGGACTTCTGTACAACTTGCCGAAGGGTATGTATGTGGTCTATGGTGCTAAAGCCCTTTCGGAAACCGGCTTGTTCGGGAGGCTGGAAGTCGTCAAGTCTGCGCGCGAGACGATTCGTAATGACTCTCGAAAACAGCACGTAGACGCGGCTCAGAAGGGAAATCGGTCTGTAGTTCTTCAAGAGAGCGTTGTCACCTTTCTTGAAGAACAAGACCACCGCACTTCTGCTCCACGCCTCCGGTGTAATGCCACCATGGAGGACGGAATTAAAGAGCTTCTGAAGGACTTCAAGTACCGGTCTTCCACCCGCTTTCAGAAGCTCCGCTGTAATTCCATCCTCGCCTGGGGCCTTACCGTTTTTAAGGTGCTGGAGAGCCATCCTAATCTCGCTCAGACTGACATCCGGGATATCTTCGGAATAGTGTCGGATGAGACTCGCTCTTGGATCGTTACTTACACTTGCGTGTGGCTCCAACGATGATGTGTACAGCTGCCCATAGAACCTCTCAATCTCACTCAAAATCTCAGGTGTCCCGGAAACGATGCTGCCACATTCTGTCTTCAGCTTTGACAGGTGGCTCTTTCTGGCAGACAGATCTCTGGCAAAGACTTTGGAGCCTTGGTTCCGCTCGATCGCTTCTTCAATACGAGCTGTATTGAAGTTCCGTAAGTCCCGCCGCATGCATTTGGAGATCTGTCTGTTCAGATGCCTGTATGCTGTCAAGTCTGTTGAAGAATGTAGCTTCGTCTCCCGTCTAACAGCCATGAGATTAAGAGTGTGATCGGAGAGTTTTTGTGTTCTTCTGCGGCGGGTCTTGCAGAACTTAGCTCCAACCGCATGGACAGTTTCCACGAGCTTGTCATTCATATCGTCCACTTCATTGCAGTCTTCTAGGCACTGAAAACGGTTTTGTAACTCGAGCTGAAAGGTTTCGGGACTTTGGAACAGAGCACGAGGGGGACGGAGCGTTGACTTCATTAGACGAGACCTCTCCAACTTAACGTTTAGGTTCAGTGTGCCTCTAACCATTCGGTGATCGCTACCAGTTTTCACCCTCGCGATCACGGAGACATCACTGAACAGTTGTCGTCTGGTCGTCATAATGAAGTCAATCTCATTTTTGTGGAACCGTCGGGGCTCGACCAGGTCCACTTCCTGTGGGGCCGCTTCTGGAAAAAAGAGTTCATCATAAAGAGTCCCTCTTTCTCCATGAAGTCGGCCAGCTGCTGGCCCCTTGGGTTCCGTTGCCCTATTCCAAATTTCCCTACTTTCAGCTCACCGTTCTCTCTTGTGCCTAGTTTTGCATTGAAGTCTCCCATTAACACATTCATCACCACTACGATTTTCATGATGTCTTCTCGGATGCCGTCTACATTTTACGGTTGACTCGCCAGGCGAGTCGCCGGCACTGCAATATAAATTGAATCGACTCGCCACGCGAATTCACTGGCTCTAAGTAAGGGTAAATTCTATGTTTTGTAATTTTTGTGGCCGTCACAGTGTACTTAACGTGTTTAACGCAATTAAAAAGTGTTTCAGGACTATTCGGCTTGTAAAAATGGCAAAAAACTCTTTGGATAAAATAAAAGGTAGTTTGTGTCGTAATTTAAGCAGTGGTTGTCAATCTTTTAAATTGTGGTTATTGTTAAGGTTATATTTGGAATTTCTAATACTTGTGAATAGACAATTTTACCACGAAATAATTTAATATATATCCTTCCCCTCGGACTCTCGAAGAGACCAGACGTGTGTGGTTTAGTTAGAATACAGTTAACTTATGTTAAATTCCGACAAAATCAAATAAATAATTAGGAGTGCATAAAAGTGAAGAAGTGTTCACTAACTCTCAACACTAGTCCTACTAAATTCCCATGCAGCTGTGTGAGTAAAAGCCTTATTATTGAAGTGTTATAATTTTTTTTGCAAATTAATAAATAGTTCAAACGAGAAAAAAAACGCTTAATCATTGCGTCATTGAATAAAACAGGGATAACATAAATGAATATTGTATGCACAGGACGAGAGATCAAGTGACATAAGACGGAAAGACCTTTTGTATAAGAATCGTCGATCAACGACCAGTTGCTTGACCTCTAAGCAAATAGTAACGAAACATTGGAGCTTGCAATAAATACGTAGTACCATATTGCTCTGGTACATCGTTTTAACGTCGCTTTATGATTTCTCGCTCGCCACCGCAGTTTACTTCGCAGCCGCAGAATATTGTTGCTACTAGATCGACCGACACCTACGTCTCGACGGCGGCCATCAACTTTACATCGCAAACACTGCCATTCAGACCCAAATATTTATTCCGATTCCGATAGCCAGCCGAACAGCTTACCGTACCAAAAGGAAGCGTGAGGATGAATTCGATACATTTAAAATTGATGTTAATAGAATGTTTAAGGAACTTATTCGAGAACAACAACAACAACAACACGCACGCACGCCCACACACATTCTTTATCTACTTTTGATTGGAAATAAACGATTATTATTATAATACGGGCTTTCAGTTTTAAGAATATGGTATGTATTATTTTTATTGTGAATATTAGTTCCATATCACAAGTATGTAGGTAGTCCATGCTACTATGTTGACGTCGTTATCTAACATGTAAATGGTTGAGTATCTATGTCAGGGAACTCGCCTAGCGAGTTCAAGGCATTGCAGAATAGTTTGTTTCCTTTCAAATTTAAACGGAGTCTCCACACCCGGCCCACCACGTAAATCTTTAGTTTAGCATATATTTAGTCTAAACTATAATTTTAAGCAGAAAATACGGATGCATTTTGGAAATATTAGTGAAAAACACTGAACTCGCCAGACGAGTCGTCGGCACTGGAATAAGATTTACGTGAACTCTCCGGGCGAGTCGGTGGTACTGAATGTGTTAACACCGTATATTGGGTTTTGGAGGAATGCATGGCTCTAGAGAAAATCACCACTACCACTTATAAATTAATAAAGTCTTGCTTCAACACTGATTAATCCCACATAACAAGTTTCTACCAAAATTATTTTTATTTTTTACTTAACTTCTGCAAAACTTATCAAAATTTGATGCTAGTTATTATTGTGAATAAATGTGAAAAAATTAATAAACCGCCATCTATGCGTATTGTTGTGAACTATTTCGCTTCTCGACCCGGTTAACTGTCAATACTGTCATTTCATTCATTTTTACCCTCTCTCTTTCTTATTGACGGTTTCGTTGGCGCCCTTTTCGCCAATTCTTGTCAGAACAGGTGAAGTTTTTCAAACGAAAACAATATTATTACAGTTTTAAAATGAATAATCGCAGAAACAATGCACAGAGTGCACGTTCTCGTGGCATAGTAGATTCGGTGTTGCAATTTTCAAATGATTCGCAGTCCGAGTCCGATTTACATGTAAGTGAACAACTTTTGGTGCAACTAAGATTGGTTAGCAAACAAATAAGTAATTTTTACGTTATATTCGATAGCTAGAGCCTTTTCTTATTCATTCAATCTTGTTTTTTTTTATTGTAGGAAAGAAATGGAGTACTCGTTACCGAAAATGTGTTAGTACATGCAACACAAAATTGGTCTCCTGACAGAAATAAACAAGTTTCTTACTCTCGCATTGATAAAGTGATGACGACAATTCTATTGAAATATTAAGTAGATAGTCATTTATAATTTACATGTGTGTGAATTAATACTTTATATAACCGTTCGATGCCCATTGAGTCTGAATTTAGAACTGATTATATTAAAATAGAATTGGAAGAAATAGCAAGCTCATCTTTAGATATTATGGAGAAGAATTCATTTGAAAAAACAGCTACTTCCCACTCAGTAAAAACCACAAGACCAACACAAGTCCAAGTAAGTTTATTAAGATAATTAGGGTAGTTTTGATCTCCAGCCTACAAGAATGTAATCATTAATGTACTTTCAGCTCGATATACCTAGCTCTCAGACTCAAAAGAACAATGAAGACAGGACACCAGAAAATATTGATGAACATCTGGACGATACTGTTTAACCCCAAATTGTTTGTGAAACTTCTAATCAAGTAAGTACTTCAGGTAAAAAACCAAATTTTATTTTTGCAATATTATACTCTATGGTATTTATTATGAGTTTAATACTTTCTTTTTTAGAGTAATATTATTCAAAACAAGGAAATTGAACCAGGATCATCAGATTTTTCTGCAGAAAAATCAAGAGTTGTTTTACAAGATAATACAGAATGTGATGTTGAGATGGTAGGTTTTTTTATTTAACTTATTTTCTAAGATTGTTCTGTGTAAAAATTATTCTTCGGGAATACCGACAAAACAAAAGTTGTTGTTAGTACTTATAAAACAGTTTGTTTTTTACTTTTTTTACAGGGTCAGGATTTTAGCTCTGGCTCCGATGATGAATAGCAACCTGTCAGTCATGATTTGATAACATCTATTGAAAACGAAGAATCTACAAGTAAATCTGACTCCGATGATGGTGATGGTGACGATAATATCCCATTGGCTTTTTTATGTAGAAAGAGGAAGAAAGGTTATGGTCCTTATCAAAGAAAGCTACGAAAGGAGCGTACGGAAAAACGTCGAAAAGGCGAGGAATATGTAACTGCAAAAGGAAAATGTATACCAAAGCGTTATCCGGGTGGATTTTCAGATAATTGTAGGGCAAAATGTCAACAAAAGCTTGAGAAAATTAATTTGAACCAGCTTTACATTGACTACAGGGAATTACCGTCTAGAAAAGCACAAAAGAGATATTTGAGTGGAAGAAATTCATTTATGAAAAACAGAGAGGTAACAGTTGTTTACAATATAGATGGAACTGAAGGAAATATTTGCAAAAAATGTTTTATGAAAACATTTGGTGAAGGCAGAGGTTTTATAGACGAAATCGTTAAGAAGAAAAGGAACAGCTCATCGGCATCTGTTATTGTAAAAGCTGATCAAAGAGGTTTAAGGGATCCTGGAAATAAACGTTCTGACCATGACATCCAATACGTCAAAAACTTCATCGACAAATTTCCAACTTATGAAAGTCACTACTCCCGACGCCATACGAATAAAAAATACCTTCATCAGGATTTAAATGAAGATATTGTACAAATTGTACAAAGATGAATACGTGAAAGACAATGGAGAAGAAGGATTACCGCCAGTAAGCATTACGCTGTTTCGTAGCATTTTTAAAACACTCAATTTGAAATTCAAAAAACCTTCAAACGATACTTACAAAACTTGCGATTCGCTTACGCTTCAAATTAAAACTTGTGAGGATGCTAATGAAAAACAAAATTTAGAAGAGAAGACTATTCATCAAAGTAAAGCTGAATCACATTATAATTCGAAAAGAGAGGACAAGGAATTGAGTAAGCAAAGTGATGGAAAAATTGTTGTTGCTGCATTCGATCTACAAAAATATTTAGCGACTCCTTATCTATCAGCTGGAATATCGTTTTATAAAAGGAAGCTATGTACTTTTAATTTAACTGTACGTAACATCATAGAAAAACGAACGCACTGTATTGTTTGGTACGAAAGTATCGCACAAAGTGGTGCGGATGAGATTGCATCATGTTTGTTTCGATTTATTATGGAGCTACCAGATACTGTAGAGCAGATAATCTTCTACTCAGATACCTGCCCAGGACAAAACAGAAATAATATTTTACCATTAATGTTTGCATTAGCCATCAATCAAAAAACCAGTTTAAATGAAATCCATCACAAATTTTTAGTGCCCGGACATACGCATTTGGTATGCGACAGCGATCATTCAGCGATAGAAAGATTTATAAAACATCATAGAGTTTCAATTTCTGTTCCACAAGATTGGGCAAACATTATCCAAATGTCTAGTCGCAGATACACAGTCCAAATGATGACACAAGAAATGTTTTTAGGATTTTCTCAACTTTTCAAAACAATGTTTATGAAAAGAAACATTGATACCGATAAAAATCCTTTTATTTGGAACAATATTTTTTGGATAATGTGTTCTAAAGACTCTAATGATGTGGCGTTCAAAGAGTCTTTAGACTCAAGTGAACCTTTTAGAAACTACTCATTTATTAAAAGGGGACGGGTATCATCGGTTGCTACTTTGAGCATACCAAGAGCATATTCGAGTCCTTTACCTATATACTCAAAAAAGTACCATGATATTATAAGTTTGCTACCTTTTATAGATCGTGTTTATCATAATTTTTATAAAAATTTAAAAACCTCAAATACGAATCCTGACTCTGTAAGCGACAGTGGCGAAAATTACGAATAAATTATAACACTTATGTTCTACTAACTTTTGATTTCAATATGTTAACTCCATTGTTATCGATTTAATTAGTTAATGTTAATTTGGTTAAAAAATGATAAGTGCCATTTAAAATGAAACGGCTGTGTTTTTAGTTTTAGTTAATATATTTTAAAAAAAAACCTGATTAATAAATAGTTACTGCAGCAGTGGTTAGCTTTTTCTACTTTACCTAACTGATTTATAAATTCTTGAACCTTAAGTCTTATACTGAAAAATTAAGTTTTTGGACTTAACAGGTTTCTCCCAGACACCACAGATATTTAGGACCTTTTAAAATTGTCAGTGGTATGTATTAAAATGTAAAAATATTGCAAAATGGCAAAGAAAATGTTATGCATAAAAAAACGACACTACATATTCAACAATGTTATCCATAAATAATCTTAGCCAAAGATTATAAGATTAGAAATATAAATTATAATGGAATGACAGGTACATACAAAAAAACCGGCCAAGTGCGAATCGGACTAGCGCACCGACGGTTCCGACCAAATTGATAGGTATAAAAGTTTAAAATTATTAAAAATATTTTTATTATATGATGTAACTTAAAATTTATGCTTTTCGCAACTTTTCCTTTATCTGTGCTATGATACGTTGCTTCGTACCAAATTTTAAGATTCTGAGTTCACAGGAAGTACCCTGTAGGTTTTGATTCCTTTGCGAATGTCGAAAATTTGCGGCATAAACGGCTGTATCTTTTGATTGTGTTGGCTTAGAAGTTTGGTTTTTTTTACAGCTCCAAGGGGCCGTAGACTTGAGTATTTGGTATGAATTTCAGCTTGATACCTCCACGCGTTCCTGAGAAAAAGGGTCTTGACAGACAGACGGACAACAAAGTGATCCTATAAGGGTTCCGTTTTTTCTTTTTGGGGTACGGAACCCTAAAAACAATGTATTTAATTATTAAAAAAAAGAAGGAAGATGTTAAATAGTATACCTTCATAAAGAAATATATTATAGCAAGCAAAGAAAGTGTAGTGGCATTGTAAGAATATTCACTACCCGATATCATCCCGTGAGTGTTGTAAGAGGCAACACAGAGAGAAAACAAATCAAGATCTCCTTATAGTTATTAGAAAGACGCCTTTCTAATAACAAGTTTAGTCATACACCTAACTACGACAATATATGGGGGAAAGCCTATGTTCAGCAGTGGACTTTCACTGATTGTAATGAATGGATGAATGAGCAACTTGGGCCGATCACCGCCGGCGCAGATGAAATTTTTATATGCATTAATATGATATTACCGTAACAATTACATTAGAACTAAAGATTGCCCAGCTTTTTATGAAGAGTCACTAACCAAAAGAGTACCACAACCGTAATACTTCATATTTGTAGCATTCCAAGTTAAAGATTTTATTATACTCATTTTATATATAGTTAGTGCACTAAGTTTTGCTCCAAAAGTTGCAGATACTTGGAATTTTTAAGTAAAAGCTTCAAGTGTTCTGCGTCAACATGTTGACACCACTTACTATTTTGCAACTATGTGCCAAACAGGTATTGTAAGTCGGTTGCACAAAGTTGTACGCTTCAGGCGAAAGAAAATCTATCTAATTTCTTAAGAGTACTGATTCGGTAAAGGCAAACTTTTAAATTTCTTTATTTTTCTCCTTAAAAACAGTTGGTCCTACAGTCTTTTAATAAAAATGTATCTTCAGTATTTATAAGCTGTCTTCAAAATTTGAGAATAATTTGAAAAATCTTCTTAGACCGTCTTCTACACTTTTGTTTTAGCCTTTTTCTGCTTCGTTAATTTTTCTTTAAATTTAGTAACTTCAGATGTACTGATCTGAAAATTATAAAAAAAGATAGGGTAAGTAACTTAACTCTATTTCATGTGGGTTTTGTAGTGGTGGTATAAGAATATCCACTAGCCCATATCGCCCCAAGGGTGTCATAAAAGTCGATAGAGGGAAAATAAAACAGAAGAGAGAGAAGAGGACAGCAGCATCTTCCTGATAACAACTCAAAATAATAAAAAACTGCAGTTGCCAAACCGCTTGCCAAGCGTGTCAGCTATAGCAAATAACCTTTATGACAAAGGAATATGTCCAACAAAGCGTTGTTTTTTTTAAACATGAGCATGACTAATTCCTATAATTGAAAGTAATATTTAATGCTCCTATGACATTTAAATTAGTGAGACTTAATAACAATGAAGATATTATGTATATATTATAATACAAATGAATTTGAAATAATAAGCAAAGAAGTAAACTACAGTGAAATAAATTATATGTTAATAAAGAATTGTGAAAAAAGTATAAGAAGTAATTTTTTTATTTTTATACAAACCATTACTAATAGAAATAAAATATTAAGAACTAAATCTGTTGGTCATGCATAATTTGTTATATTTGTTTTTTTACATATATTTAAAAAAACAAATTTTTAATTAAAAAAGTTAAATTTCAGAACCCTGCACTGTAATATAGCTGCCTGCTTATTGACGTTGCATATAAGAATTGTGATTTATAATAAAATTGATACAGCAGCAAAACAAATAAATTCAAGGAGATATGCACAATTAAAGATGACAATATTTTCTGTGGCGATGTGGAGCTTGTATTAAGCCGACGGAAAACAATTTGATCATTGGCTTCATTTTAAGAAAATGATGTAATAAAATTATCAAAATAATTACATACCTATTTTTTTTAATTTTATCTTTAGGTTAACTTTATTTGAAACAGACCT